AGTCTTTACCATAACCCTAACACTAAACAAAGTCCTAGACCTATCTCAGACTTGGTCATAGTCCTAACCTTTACTCCTATTATAACCACCCCCCCACCCCCACCCCACACACACAAAAAAACAGGAACGAAAGGAAAGACCAAAGTGGATGTCAGAAGAGACTCTGAAATTTGCTCTTGAATGTAGAGAAGCTAAAACAAATAGAAGATGATGATGTAAAAGAGCTGAACAGAATCTGTCAAAGAGCAGTTCAAGAAAACAAAGACCTGGAGTTAAAAAACCATAAGGGAAGAATCACACTCAGCATTTCTCAAGCTGAAAGAACTAAAGGAAACATTTCAAGTCTCAAGTTGCATTACTGAAGGAGTCTATGGGCACAATATTGAACGATGTAAGATGCATCAAAAGAAGATGGAAGGAAAAAACAGAGTCAAAAAGAATTGGTAGACATTCAACCATTTCCAGAGATAACATATGAAAAAGACCCAATAAACTAATGCAGCACTGAAGTGCTCACTAGTCCACGACAAGTAATCTACAAGACAGATATCTGGTAAGTCAATGGAAGACATATGTAATTGTGACATTCCAAAGAAAGGGACACAGCAGAAATGAGGAAATCATCAGACAATACCATTAATATCATACGCAAGTAAAATGTTGAGTTTACATTAAAAAATGGTTGTAACAACGCATATAGACAGTGGTCTGCCAGAAATTCGAGTGGATTCTAAAGAAGACAATTAATGAGGGATAAGACTGCTGACATTAGAAAAACCTTGTCTGGAAGAAAAGAATACCAAAAAGATGTTTACTTGTGTTTTACTGACTGGGCCAAGGCATCCGACTGTGTGAATCATGACAAATTATGGATTACATTGTAAAGAATGGGGATTCTAGAACATTAAATTGTGCGAAAAGGCAGCTGTTCAAACATAACAAGGAAATAGTAAATGATTTAAATTTAGTAAAGGTGTACACCAGGGCTGTTTCCTTTCACCATACTTACTCAATCTGTATTCTGAGCAAATTAGTCTGAGAAGCTGGATTATATGAAGAACGTGGCATCAGGACTGAAGAAAGACTGATTAATAATCTGAGATATGCAGGAGGCATGATCTTGCTTGCTGAAAGTAAAGAGACTTTGAAATACTTATTGATGAAGATCAAAGACTACAGCCTTCAATATAGATTATAACTCAATGTAAAGAAAACAGAAATTCTCACAAGTGGACCAGTAAGCAACACCACAATAAATGCATAGAAGATTTTACTTGGATCCAAAATCAACATTTATGGAAGCAGCAGTCAATAAATTAAATGGCATATTGCAGTGGGCAATGGCTATTGATAAAGACGCCATTTTAAGGACTAAGGAGCACCTGACCCATGCTATAGTATTTTCTAACCACCTTATATGCATGTGAAAACTGGACAAGGAACAAGGAACTAATACATTTAAATGATGGTGTTGGCGAAGAATATTGACGGTACCACGAACTGACAGAAGAACAAACAAATCTATCTTAGAAGAAATACAGTCAGTAAGCTCCCTGAATCAATGGTGGTGAGACCTTCTCATGTACTTTGGAAACGTTAACAAGAATCCCATAAGGACACTGTGCTTGGTGAAGTAGAGGGCTAAAGGAAAAGAGGACGACCCTCCTCAAGACGGAACGACACAGTGATTGCACTAACGGACTCAACCAGAACAACCAGGAAGATGGTGCAGGACAAGGCTGTGTAGAGTTTTTTGTTCACAAGGCACCTAATGACAATAGTAAAGTTGCCTTAACGAGACTGTTGAAGAATTATAAATATCAAAGACAATTCTGGCGACAGCTCAGAAGGAAGTGGGGAGAGTTACAGAGAAATAGCCATGGTACTGTCTATCATCTTGGTGTTGCTAAACATGCACACATACCATGTGATCTGGTGAGAGTTTAAAAAACAATAAGATAGGGCTAGACAACGAAGGAAGACTGATGTCTTTCATGCAGTGACAACTTATCTGGACTATATTCAAATGTTTGGTGGAAAGTAGAACTTGTAGGTGATGAAACTGGATATCTGACTGATAACATTTCTAAGTAAGATCTTAAATAGGCCACTGTTTTCTCATAGTAAAATGTGAGAGGAAAGAGATCGATTTTTAGATGAGCTGTGTGCAAAATTGAAATAAAGCACCGATTTGGTAAATTCTGTTATACAAACAATGGACATGTGTCCTAAAATTTCACCAAGGATGTGGCTACATAAACTTTTGTTAAAAAGATTACGCCTGTGACTGATAGATCTAACCAACTAACACAGCAGAAAACCCATCAGCTTAAACTGAAGGAGGTCAAAGAACAAAAGGAGGATCTCTTAGAATTCTACAAGCAGGAAACAGGTCAAGAGAGTTACATCTCCAAGTCTCCAAGAAAAGAGCCATCCCTGGCGCAGGAATATCACAAACAAGAGCCGTCTAGGTTTCAAGGGGTGGGGCCATGGTCTCCTGGCTTTCAGAGGGTGGGGCCACAACATCCTAGGTTTCAGTTACTCAAATCTTGGCCAACTCGAGATACCAGAGTGTGGGCCTGCTGTTAAGGTGTGCCAGGAGGACTGGGCCACAACCCAAAGCTGAGGGGGCAGGGCTGCCATGTCCAAGAGGCAGATGAATATGGCCTACTGGGGCAGACAAGGCAGGGTAACTACACACATGGACTAGTAGAATGAGGTCACCCAAAGCTGAAGGGGAAGCCATCAGAGTGGGCCTGGGAGGTGGAGATGAAGCTCAGGGCCAACAGGCCTCCACACTTAATCCAGAGGGCATTGCCAACACCCAGAGTCATCGAGGCAGGAAAAGTCAGCACCCATCAAAAGAACCCCTTTCAAAACTGAAGTCAAAGGGAACCAGCAAAGAGCCTGGAGTGCTTTGCATGAGGTGACCAACGTTTTATCTTCTTGATAGTACTCATCTCTCTTGAAGTCCCTAACCACCATATTAAAATCTGCAACTGGTCATCACAGCACTGAAAATGTAATTCCAACAGAATCCCAAGCCACTTGTGGTCTTCCTATACCACCAACTTCTGTATTCCATTCAAGCTAAACCACAAGTTCCTCAGAAGGTATTCTATTTTCACTGTGTTTGACAAAGGTCACCTTATCTAAGGAAATTTCTTAGAATGCTCCCTTCTTTCTGAAGGCTAGGCATAGATGATCCTTTCTGTTTTCTATTTACGACAACAACCTAATCATGGCACTTAGGACTCTAACAGTCTACTTGTCAGTTTCAACAGCTTTTAAAGGAAAAAATCCTTCTGTCTGAAACTGCCTAACATTCAGAGGGCCTGAATAAATGTCCATTAAATCTCAGTCTTGGAAGGGACCTTAGAGTTAATTCTGCTCTTCCCTTTTCACTTTATCCAATGTCTGTTATCCTCTAACAACCTTGCTGAGCACATGACAAGCCCCTTGAATACCTGCTATAATAGGTCAATTGTTAAATGACAACACCAGCAAGGCCTCGTGCTGGGCATTACATAAAGATTTCCACTGCAATCTGTTCTGGAACACCTTATGACAAGGAGACCAAGGCCCTGCAGTGGCCAGGGCTGGAGGTTGCTGACTTCCAGATCCTCACAGAATTAGAAACAACTGGCAGGAGAAAAACTGATGAGAAGACTGCTAGAAATAAGGCTGGGGTGAAGAGCCCGACACCAAGGCAAAGTAGAGACACGCTGGACCAAGTTCAAGGCCAGGAGTGAATAGACACCTACGGTGACACATTTAACCAAGAGAGGAAGAAAAGGCTGTTAAGATTAAAATCTTAAACCAAGATGCAATTTTATCAATGTTAATTACAAATATTTAATCCTTGCAAAAATAGCTCTATTTAAAACAATAAAATTGGAACATTTTCATATAGTTAATATGGACTTCCCCATAATTCTTTGCCCCATGTCATGGTTCAACTTTTCAGTTCCAGAATCTCCACACTGTGAAAAAAGACAGGCATAATGTTGTTGCTGTTGTTGTTAAGTGCTGTTGAGTCTATTCTGACCGATAGCGACCCTGTATAGGGTTTCTGAGGAGCAGCTGGTGAGCTTGAACCACCGACCTTGAAGTTCAAACGGCTTTGCAGTCTGGTGCATTAACCCACAGCGCCACACCAGGACTCCAATGTTGTTGTTAAGCGCTATCAAATTGGTTCTAACTCACAGCAACCCTGTATAGGGTAGGATTTCCAAGGAGCGGCTGGTGGATCTGAACCACCAACCTTGTGGTTAGCAGTTCAGTACTTATCTTACAGTGCAATACCAGGACAACAATATCTTGTCCATTTCCAGGAGAATATAAAAGATAGGAGAAAATATGAGTAAAATAAATTATTTTATTGAGGAAGATAAGTTGCTCAATATTAGCTGGTTGTAGATAAAGAGAAGGGAACATGCTGGCAGTGGGGAGACAGACTCCTACTAACGGATCTATTCAACAAATACTCAGAATCCATTTCTTCAAATGCAAAAGTGGGTCACACTTTCCAGTCAAAGAATCATTGAGATCAACTGAAATAGGATTATTTCAACTATCAACCAAGAGTCTTTACATCTTCTCTGAGCCAAGGCCTCCATGGAACCTAATTCATTTCCCAGACTCCTCAGGAGGATTGAGCAGTCGTTTCCGCATTGTGTTGCCACGCTCCCTGCTTTTGGTCCTTTTTTCTGCATACTGGAAAATAAAAGGGGAAGAGAGACCAATCACCAGATTATGACACTATTTATATGAGTCAAGATTAAATACTTAGACACATGTGCAAAATAAAAACGTTTTTGACAAAATTCTTGTGTTCTTTATGCAAAACCAAACACTGTCTCCCTGTAACTTCTTCTACTGCCCTCGAGTTGGTTTTGCCTGCAATCGTCTTGCAAACATCTGGTCATATACTCAGCCACACTCTGTTGGCTTACTCCTCTTTAGGCTGAATAGTGCAGGTTCCCACAACTGTCCCACAGACCATGGCTTCTACATTCTAATCCATAAAGTGCCTTTTAGTTTATCAAGCACTTCAGTATCAATATTCCTTATAAAACGATCACAACCAGAATTAAACACAGTGCTCTATCTGTAATCTGACACACGTGGACTAGAATACTCCTACTGTTTATGAGCTATATACATTATGTTTCTATAAAATATTACCCAAAAGAATATCTGGATCTTAGCAATCATATTACCTTATTGACTCACATGGAAGCCTGTGGTCAAGTGAACGTCCCAAGGTTTCTGTTTTGCTTGATTACCATGAGTGCTCATCAAACCGATTCTCCTAAATTCCCGTCAGTATAATCAGTTGCATGTGAATGCGGTTTTTACCTGAAAAGTTGTCACCTGAGTATTCTAATCTGACCATAGGTTATAAATCACAAGAAAACATGGAGCTGATGACTAGACGGTCCTGTCCTCCCTCTTGCCCCTGACACGGATGGTTGTGGAGACTCAGGACTCACAGTTACTTCATTCTTCTGGGCCACTAGCCTCAAATGTAAGAAGTTACACTAGATCATCTTTAAGACATTTTCTAGGTCTAAAAGTGTGATTCTAGAATTCTAATATCTGACTTTGTATCAGCCAGGTCAATAAAATAAGCTATTTGGCCAAATGAGTAAGTTGTTACTGTTGTCGCTTAGTGCTGTCAAGTCAGTTCTGACGCCTAGCACCCTTGTATAGGGTTTCCCAGGGGCAGCTGGTGGGCTTGAACTGCCGACCTTCTGATTGTAACAGTCCAGTGCTTATCCTACAGTGCCACACTAGGACAAAGTATTGTTTGTTGGTGTTAAGTGCTGTCGAGTCGGTTCCTATGCATAGCAAGCCTGTATAAAGTTCCCAAGGAGTGGCTAATGAGCCTGAACCACTGACCTTATAGTTCAAACCAACCTTGCAGTCCAGCCCATTAACCCGCAGTGCCGTAGCAGAACTCCAGAACGAAGTATGGCCTACATTAAAACATGCGTTTTATATTTATGACAAGAGTTGAGGTGGCCCCTGAATTAATGGGCGGAGAGGGTTGAATGTAAGATTAATTGTAAAGTTCCAAACACTGAAGGTAAACTGGTAGACCAGGAAGCTAACCTAAATAAATCACTAAGAGGATACCGCACTGTTAGTATTTACCTCAATAAAAAGAAACAAAGCAGTGGCACAGGAGCAGAGAGGGGCTCCAACAGAACGGGGGAGTCGCTTCTCAAAGTTTCACAGAATGAACTACTCCAAGGACACAGGAAGGAAATGGTAGGAGGAGAGCATTGTAAGCAATAAATGGTAATAAACTAGAAAACGTTAGAAGCAACAAGTACAGGTTCAGAGAATTCGAGGATAAAAGACCATGCAGAAAATCAGGCAATGAAACCACAGAAAAACCACATACAGGGCTTAGAAACTACGTCAAGGAGGGAACAAAAACTTTCATGAAAACAAATGTAGCCAAAACTAGAAAAATACCCACAAGATCCTACCAAACAGAAACTACCAAAGATCAGAAAGACCAGAGAAGAAAATATCACCTGAAAATCGAATCATCCAAAGAATGGCACAATTACCGAACTCAGTAGAAACGGCATCTTATACAAGGGGAAGGATGTGAAAGAAAAGGAACAGCTACACCTGGTGTGGCACTGCAGGTAAGCTCGGCTTGAAGCGCAAGGTAAACAGTCCCAGTTCCCTAGCTGCTTCTCAGACACAGACCCTATACAGGGTCACTATGAGGTGGAACTGCCTTGATGGCACTTACCACCACCACCAAATAAAACAGCACATACTTTACTTTTGCACAAGTTTATTTTAAAAATAGTACATTGCCCTAGGTTTAGTTTCCAAATAAGCCAGCTTTTAGATTCAAGGCCAAAAGTACTTTAAAAATTAGTTTAAAACACTAACGCATATACACATTTATGTACACAGAGAAAAGCACTTCCCCTAACTCAGGACTATACAAAGTTCTTCAATCAGTAAATAAGTGTCACCTTGAAAAGAGACCACACACTGAAAAATACATACAATAAAAGTGGCACCCATATTAAAATGCCTTTTAATAGGAAGCATAATAGAGGACAAAGAGTTCCAATAGCAAAGATTTGAAGGCAAATTTTTCAGTAGTTATATATTTAAAATGATTAAATTAAAAATCTGATATACAAAACAGAAATGGAATTAACTTCTTTTCAAAATCTTAAATATGCACTCTGCTTGGTTAGCAAGACTTGGACAAATACCATGCCTTTAGCTACTTGACCAAGTCCAAGTCATAGTTTCAGCACCTTGTCCATAGCTAACAGTGAGCTGATAAGAGTATTCAAACTTCCAAACCTGAAAACTCATCCAGATGAGTTGCAGTGACTATTAGGAAGTTGTTTTCACTTATGTGCATGACCAATAGACAGCAATGTTACAGGACTATCTATCCCCAGAGGAAGCTGTCCTCTCTCCTGGTTTTAGAGCTCTGGTAGTGTAGTGGTTACAAGTCAGGTTGCTAACCTCAGGGTCAGCAGTTCGAAACTACCAGCTGTTCCACAAGAGAAAGATGAGGCTTTCTGCTCCTGTAAAGATTTACAGCCTCAGAACCCTACGCAAGGTCACTATGTGTCAGAACCAACAACCAACACCACGGACACCACCACCACCTGGTGTGGCACTGTAGGATAAGCAAGGGCAATCAGTTCAATGTGAAACAAAACATCAGTGGTTCAAACTCACCAGTTGCTCCTCAGGAACCCTACACAGGGTAGGAACTGACTCAACGGCACTTAACAACAAGAAGAGGAGAAGCACATCCTGAGTCAATCTTCTCCGTTATACGGAAACTTAGAGAAAACTTAATGATGGTAACAATATCTATTATGCCTCTAAAATGTGCTGTTCTATAGTTCACAACAATAGTAAGAAAAATGACCATCTGATTATTTTGTACATTAATGACATACATCTGGCAGTGAAGAATACCGAGATGCTAGGTGAGAGTAATGCTGGCTGTGATGGTTACATGTCACCTTGGCTAGGCCACGGTTCTCAGAGGTTTGACAGCTATAGAATGATGTCATTTGGCAGTCATGTGATGATGTAATCATTCTTCATTTGACAGCTATAGAATGACGTCATTTGGCAGTCATGTGATGATACAATCGTTTTCCATTTGACAGCTATAGAATGATGATGTCATTTGGCAGTCATGGAATGATGTAGTCATTCTCCATTTTGTGATCTGATGTAGTCATCGTCCATAGTCACATAATGCTGATTTTCACATCTAACCACCTGGTCTTTGGAACCTAGCTATGTCGACATGTTAGGATTGTACATCCAATCTCTGACTCAATTCTTACCTCATTCTTCAGGCATTTTCTCATCTCCCGATCAAGATCATTGCAATGACCAAAAAATTTCAGAATGCTGTGCTAAAAGGGAAAAAGGGAGTTCACTATTTCATGCCATATAATGCTAAGGTCTCTGACACACAGAATTTATTTCACTTACTCCTACAGAAACAAAATCAATGTGACACTCACCTTGATAATATATAAATGATAGCTAAATCACATGTATTATTGTTAGCTTTCTTGAAATGATTCAAACTCAGGGTGATCCCATGTTTCAGAGCAAAACTGCTCCATCGGATTTTTTTTAATGCTTTATTGTGAATTATGTGATGGTTCACATGGGAAGACATCAGCTTCACATTGATCCCGTTGTATATTGTTTCCTTGCCATGGTTACAATCCCTTCCATGCATCATCCATCAACCAAAGGGTATACCCTACAAGCCTGCCCCCTGGTCTTCAGCACACAGCCCCTCCTTCTCCCTCTCTGGGTCCAAAGTCTCCAGCTGCTCCATCTCCTCACATCATCGTCTCTGCCTCCATTCCTGGCATCACTGCTTCTCTGGGAAGGATTGCATTTTTCACTCTTCTCCTTTGATGGTCCCAGGGACCTCCCCTCCTAGACTGCAAGGTTAATCACTCCCCTCCCTTTGCCCCAAAACGTCTACCTTTACATTTCCAGCCCTTACAATCAGTCCTGATAACAATTATTTGCTATTGCATCACAAGAGACCTATCTGCCTCTCCTTTCATCAGCCCTGACTAGGCAGAATGGATACTACTCAGTGGAGAGTCTACCTTGCTTCATGCCCTCTGGATCTAGGTTCCCTCTTGAAAGCTTGTAAGCCAGTCACTTCTTGCCTCTGTAGCACCCCCATTCTGGGTAGCCAATGTCCAAGTTGCCTATCCCTGTCCTCTCCGTGTGCGGAGGAGGTGGGAATGATCCTCACTGTGAAAATTTGTTCACTCTTTTGAGCTACTGCTTCTATAGGTGTATGTAAAGTTCATCAAATTATATCAGATTATTCTTTTTTCCCCTCTTCTTTCTTCTTCTATTTGAGCTCTGATCATCCAGCCATTGAAGCCAGTGTCAAGTGGATATTATATGCAAGTGTGGGTGTATTTATGCATGTGCCCTCTCTTCTTATCAGCTGGATGCTTCACTCTCCACTCTAGTCCTCTGTGGCTATGTTGCTGACTCTAGGTCCAAGAGTCCCCAGGTCTTGCCACACTGCTGGCCAACTAGGTCTCCATCCGGGTTCGCAGGACTCTATTTAGCATTGTAGGGCTTAACTCGCAGCTTCATTGCTATTTTTCCCTCACTTCCCCTTATCGGTGACGAACGTGGTCACCAATGCATGTTGAGCATGCATTCCCATTGAGTCTTAGTCTTAGAAGGGGGTTTACCTTGAGGGGGGCCTGACCACTTGCCTTGATGTCTCCTGGGCAAGCCACTTGTTTGTTCTTGTAGTAATCAGTCATCCTGCCTATATTGTTTTGTATTTTTCCTGTCAGTCTTTCTTTCAGGAAATATCTTCTGTTCTGGCCACTCCAGGCTGGTCTGCTTGTCCTTTCAAGTGGAAATTTCCCCTCAAAAGATTCTGGATGCTGTTCAGGATTCCACCTGTGGTCTTGTGTAATGTAGAGGCTCTGCAGGAAGCCTTCTTTACTGAGCACGTTGTATCCCCATTTTAGGTATTCCCATCAGTTTTAGGCAGAAGGTGGATTGACAAGCTTTCTATAGTGGTATTTCTGTCGTTTCCTTTCTCTCCCCCTCCAGTGTCTATTTTATAGCGGTATGCCAGGGAACCTAGATTCAACAGACACCCAAGCATCTTAACATTATTTCCCCCTTTTCCCCATTCAAACCACGTCTCAATCGCTGTATCCCAGAGCCCTGTTGTTCCAAGGTTTTGCATACGTCATTATTTGCCTCTGTCCCACTTCAGCTTAACATGCATCCTATCATATTTCAATTCTTTGCAATGATTAAAATCGCCTCCGTGCATCATCAAATAACCAAAAGATACACCCCACAGGTCCATCAGGTTTTCTTGACTATAATCTCAACAGAAGCAGACTTCCAGACCTACCTTCTGCAGTATCTTTTAGGTTACCCAAACCCAAACCAAATTTACAGCCATCAAGCTGATTCTGACTTACTGTGACAGAAAAGAACTGATTCACAGCTGCTGCACTATTTGGTCCTTAGCGTACTGGTTACGAATCAAGAGCGGTTCCGTGGGAGAAAAAAATGAGACTTTCTGCTCCTGTAAAGATTTACAGCCTCGGAAACCCTGTGCAGGGTCGCTATGAGTCGGAACCAACTCCACGGTACTTAACAACAACAACATCCCAGGACCTCGTTCTTCCTAACAAGGAGTTGTAAATGCTCTATAAGTAGAAATGAAAAGTAAAAAGACTTTCTCCTGGATAAAGGGGAGCCCAATAATGCCAGCAGTCACCTCACTAGTCGCACACATTTGTTAAAGGGTACATTAAAATCACAGCACAACTCTTTCTCAGTTACAAGGAGTGGGGTCAAACTGCAGTGTGGCCACATTATTAATGAACAAATAGTAACTTCACTAGCAAACATTCTTTCCCATAGAAAAACTATTTAATAAATGCTTGGCAGCAGAGTTAGTTCTCATTTGCCCCCATTCAAAATATACCAGAAATATCCCACCAACTGTTAAGTTAATTCTGACTCAGAGCACACCTCTAGGACAGAGGGGAGCTGCCTCACAGCGTGGCCAAGGCTGTAAACCTTCACGGAAGGAAGCACACTGCCATAGCTTTCTCCCACAGAGCAGCTGTGGGGCTTGAACGTCAAGGATTTGCTAAGCAGTCCAGGGCTTGAACTACTGAGTGACCTGGGCTCCCTGGAGGTAGTGCATTCATTAATCCACAATATAAGGAAATCTGTGTCTAAAGTTCAAAGTCTGCTTTGTGTAAAAAACAAAAAAAATTCCCTAGCTGTTTTAGGTCCTGTGAATAAACTATGAATGGAGCAGGCCGGTTAAGATGAAGATAGCTAAAGACCATGAGCTTTTCATGTATAGTGGGTTTGCATGTCACCATTTTTAAGGGTGGTTCAGATAACGTGGCAATCTCTGTAATGACATGCCATAAACACTCAAGCTGTAGTTGTAATAATAAACACGTCTTTTCCTTTTCTTTGAAATTAAGGCTTTCATGGAAACCAGACAACACGTAATTAGGAGGACATACCGCATACAATTCTTTCACTGCCACTTTATATATATATTTGATCCACATGAAAAAATGGTGGGTTTTTCTGGCAAGCAGTTAAGATACACTAAGATATATTACTGATGACTTACAGATTACTTTTTCCAGGATAAATATTTAGTATGCATTTTTTACAAACTGCTTAGCAACAAATAAATAAGGACTATGTATTTTCACAAACCTTACATTATTGTTTTGAACTGTCTTCGAGTCGATTTTGACTCATAGCAACGTTGTATAGGGCTTCCATGTCCAGTGCTTTAACCCACAGTGCCACACCATGAAGAAACAGAAATAGTCAGACTTCTAGGCTGTAAGGCCTGGTATGGCACTGTGGGTTGATGTGCTAGACTGCAAAGCCGTTTGAACTGCAAGGTCAGCAGTTCAAGCTCACCAGCTGCTCCTTGGAAACCCTATATAGGGTTGCTATGGGTTGGAACCAACTCAATGGCACACAACAACAACAACAAGGCTGTAAAAAAAGCAACATTTCCTAGTTTAGCTTACATTATATTTTATCATCCCACATGTATATCTAGGTTTGTTATTTTTACAAATCTAAGATTTTTTATTCTAAAATCCCCTGGTGGTACAGTGGTTTAAGTGTTAGACTGGTAACCAAAGTTCAGCAATTGAAAACCACTAGCAGCTCCATGGGAGAAATACATAGTAGACTGCTTCTTTAAAGACAAACAGCCTTGGAAATGTTATGGGGCAGTTCCACTCTGCCTTACAGTCACTGTCAGGCAGAATCAACTCGATGGCAGGCAGTGGGATTTCCTCAACACAAAGCCTAAGTCAGAATTACACTCTTGGGACACTACATGAAAAACACTGAACCCAAAATGCCTGACTGGAGTGGGCCATAGACACACGTGTAGAGGGCAATCCTCTCTTACACACACGGTCTCTAGCACCTGATGCCTATTTCTAGAGAACAAACTGAGCAAGCCAATGAAGAAAGGACTCAATCAACAGATTTCCAAACACCCTCTACATGGAGGACACTGCCCTAGACAGTAGAGAAACACCAGCTGCCAAGGGAGACCTGGATCTTTCATGAACACATGATGTTCACAAAGCTAGAGTTCTCAAAGTGTAATCTGGGGAGTCCACAACGTCAAAACTCTTTTCCTCATAATACAAAGGCCTCATTCACATGGCTCCCTCACTTTCATTCTCGCTCAAGGACACAGGGATTTTCCAGAAGCAAAAGACCAAATGGGGCGGTTGTGAGAATCCAGCAGCATTAAGTCAGACATGCGCAAGAACTGCAAAATGCACAGGCAAAGCCACTGTTTCCACTTTCTAAAGATATTTTAAAGAAAAATAACGATTTTATCTTGTAATAAATGAGTCCTGGTAGCGTAGTGGGTCACGAGCTGGGCTGATAACTGCAAGGTCAGCAGTTTGAATCCTTCAGCCGTTCCATGGGAGAAAGATGAGGCTTTCTGCTCTACAAATATTTACAGCCTCAGAAACCCTACACAGAGTTGCTATCAGTCGGTGGAACTGACTCCATGGCAAGCCACCACCACCATCGTATAATAAAGTTTCTTATTGCAATTTTAAGCAAGTCTACGTTTTTAACCTGCTTTCGTTTTTAATATAGTATATATTGATAGCTATAACATATACTAACACTCTTTAAGGTCCACAATGATTGTTTTATACTAATATTTATTGAACAGGTAGGGAGATACAAAGTTTATAAAACATGGTCAAGAAGGTGAGGTAATGCACAAGCAATAGAGAGCAGAATACGTTCACTGACTCCCAAGAGTCGAAACCAAGTGCTTTAGGAAATCAAGACTGAGACTGTCTGCAGCCTACAAGGGGGTGTGGGTGGGTGGCTAGTCAGGAAAAAGGACTGAGATTAAAGCAGAAGGCTTCAGTCTGGATTGTTGATGATACTCAGGATGGACTGTATGTTTCTCTCCTTTTCCTCTCCCCATCTTTGGGCTTACTTTACCAGTAATGCCCAGGGCTGTTCAGTCTGCTTTTTCTATACTAGCTTGCATTTTTGCTTTAATATCTTCTACAGAACTAGGTCCTTTTGGTGTCTTAGGAGTTTTTTTTCCTGTTTTTTGAAGAATTTCTGACCTTCTGATCTTTGAATGGATGGTTTTGAGTCTTTCCCATTCTGGTTTGATTTTTGTGCGTTTTTGGCTGGAATATCCTGCACAGGTTTCTTCACTGAGACTTTTTCTTTGGTTTTATCATCATCAAAATTGTCATCATCTTTGTCATCTTCTTCATTTGCAGCAAGTTGTATTTTTGCTGTGGAACCCTGGTACCACTTGCTGGGGCAGATGGCTTCCCTGAGGTACTTAAAAGTTTCACATCCTTCTCCTTTTCATCATCTGACTCTGCATCTTCCTCCACAGCTACTAAGTGCTGTCCACTAATCTGCACAGGCCCTAAGCCACACTTCAACCCTAACTAACCACACATGGCGTTATTTCAAAGGCCCTAAGGGAGATGTGTTGGCTATATACAGACATTTTCAAAGGTGCCAACTGGATTACCTTCATAATTCGCTGCCTCTGCTTCAACACTGTGCAATTAATTCACCCTTTGCACCACTCCCTAAATTGACCAGTCTTAACTATAATTGGTGCTCATTTTCATCCTTCTCCTACTGAACGTGATAATCTTTGTTGGCTTTTCGTTCACAGTTGAAAAGACAGTTTCGGGCCTCAGAGGGCTCCCATCCACATCCATGGAATCTTCCATGGGGTGGTGGTAGGTACTTGGGTGGTAAAGAAGGGTGGGGACAACCGGCTACTGGTACGGAAAACAGCCACGCAGGATGGACTCACACCAGGCCCTCAATGATTTTTAAGAGTGTAAAGGAATCCTAACACCAAATGTGCAAGAACAACAGTCATCAAGCAGGAAATGCATTATGTGAGTGCAAGTACACGGAGCTACTGCTGCAAAGGGGCTGTGTACAGAGAATCTAGGCCAGGAAAGGAGAAAAGGAAGCGAAACCCGAAGGATGAAAACCACCTGGCTTAGCAAATGAGGAGTGGAGACAATGAGAATGTTCTCAAAGGAAAGAGCAAGGGCAAAGGTTAAAGAGAGAAAATAGCACACTCCAGGAATGAAAAGGTCCACCAGCACAGCTTCAGAGAAGAGCACACAGGGATGGATGGCGTGGAGGAGCATGGGGAAGAGGTGAAGCTGAGGACTTCAATGGGGACGGCCTTGAAACACAAGTGAAAAAATGTACATTTTATTCTACAGGCAAAGAAAACCATAGATGGGGAAGAATAATTAAAGTTATTTTGGAAACACCATTCTGGATGCAGCGTGGTAAGTACACTAGGGCAGAGACCAGCTGTCAGTAATAAGGGGCCCTACGAAGAGAATGTGGGAAGAGGCTACATTAGTGACACTGGCAGTGGAGAACAACCGACTCGGAAACTCGGGGACTGTTCACATGACAGAAGGGAGGGAGATGGAGGAATTAAAGAAAATGCTGGTTTCTGGCTCCGACAGGCAAGTGTTATTCACTAAGATAGGAGGCGAAGGTGTTTAAAAACAGGTAAGATAAATTTGTGTCGGGACATGCTGAGGTTATCTGTACAACAGTCAAGTCCAGTATATAGCTGAGATAAACAGATTTAGAACTCAGGAGAGAAATCTGAGACAGGATAAAGATTAAAAACCACTGAAGGCAATGAAATTTTCTAGGAAAAAATGTACAGCCTTTATCCTCCAAGTATGGTGCTATATGACAAGCACTCGATCGCAAGGTTGGTTTGAACTACAACATCAGTGATTCAAACTCAACAGCTGCTTCTCAGAAACCCTATGCAGTGTCACTATAGGTCGGATCCAGCTCGACAGCGCTTAACAACAACAACAACCATCTTCAGTATGAAACTGATCAAACATGCAATCAAGATGCATTGATAATTACTGATGATTAGAATGCAACAGTTGGCAACAAAGAGGGATTGTTAGTTGAAAAACATGGTCTTGGTGAAAGAAATTATTCTGAAGATCCCATGACAGAAATTTGCAAGACCAATGACTTCTTCATTTCAAATACCTTTCTTTTATCAACAACATAAAACAATGACTCTGCATCTGAACCTTGCCACAAGAAATACTCAGGAATCAAATTGACTCCATCTGTGAGAAGAGATGAAGCAGAAGCTCAATATCACCAGCCAAAACCTACTCAGGGGGCCAACTACACAATAGATCATCAACTGCTCATATGCAAGTTCAGGATGAAGATGAAGCATATTAAAACAAGTCCATGAAGCCAAAATGCGACCTTGAGTATGTTGTTGTTGTTAGGTGACACTGAATCATGACCGACTCACAGTGTCCTTATGCACAGCAGAACGAAACACTGCCCGATCCTGGCCCAACGTCACTACTGTTGTCATGCTTGAGTCCATCAATGCTGCCACTTGGCCAATCCATCTCATTGGGGGTCTTCCTCTTGTGATATAATACAGATGTCTAAGGTATCAACTGTGATGGTTTCTAAATGCGTGTTTCCACGTGACAACGCTCAAACTACACTTAAAAAGATGCATTTTATTATATGTAAATTATACTTGTTATTAACCAAAATACAATATTATAAACATAAAAATGTAATCGATGATTAAGTAAAAGCAATGATTTAAACATTCTGGCTTTGGAAATAAATATGAAATGCTGATATCCTTACTTGTATCTAGTATTATGAACTACACCACACACTTCCCTAAGTCCATACTGTCCACATCCTCAGATAAGACTGAAATGTTATTTCTGAATGTCCTTCTCCCTACTCTACTGCTTTCTTCCAGAAGATCTTTCCCTTTTCCACTGACTATATATCAATGAAATATGATGGGGCTTCAAAAAGTGAGTGGGAAAATCTCATTATCTTCTAACCCATTTTTCAATTACCTTTTTGAAGGCCCCTACTATTCTGTCACACAAATAATCACTTACTGTTCTTAAAAACGGAAACATTTTATGTTTTTCCCTTTAAAAACCCACAGTTGTGTCTTACTTATTTGGTCAGGCTCATTTTTCAGTTGGGTCATTTGAGGATGGAGGGAAGGGACTGTTTAGAACAGTTCTCAGTATGTGATCTAAATGTATGGGGCACATAGTTTGCCTAAAGTTTATTGCTGTCATCAACATTCTTTGATCCAGTAAAAATGGACTTCACTGGACAGTGGTATTTTTATTACCTTATTTTTGGTCTTTAAGTTTTACTCCTTACACATTGGTTATTACTATGGTAGCATAGTGGGCTATGAGTCAGTAGTTTGAAACTACCACCCATTCCGGAGAAGAAGGACAAGGCTTTCTGCTCCCGTAATGACTGACAGCCTATGCAGGGTTGCCAGAAGTCCGAACCAACTCCAAGGTACACCACCACTACTATTGTTGTAATTTGATACCACTGGTGGTTGGTTGGTTATGTGCCATCTAGCCAGTTCTGATTCAGTGACTCTGTATAGGGTTTCCAAGAACAGCAAATGGTTTTGAACTACCAAGATTGTGGTTACCAGTCCAGTGCTTATCCTAAAGTGCCACCCAGGACTCATTACAGCTTATAGATACCATGAGAAAAACTACAATGCATCATGCAAAGTTAAAGACAACCATAAATGCTTCCTAAAATAATCAAGTCATGACAAAAAAATCTGGGGTAGAGGGCAGAGAAGCAAACGGTTTCATATGTATAAAATTATCAGTCTGATTTAATGCTTTCTAATTAAGGGCCTCTTTTCTATTCTGGTTATAACTATGGCACTTGATTTCTAGTCCACTAATAAGTAAATCTGTCAACTTAAGCCAATCATAAATTAGATCTGGTTAACATCTAATTATATAAAATATTTCCATTTCCTTTAAATTAAGAATAGTAGCCATTAAAGACGATCTTAGAATAATTGTATTATGCTGAGAAGAGTCAGAGTGGAATATAAGTATTCTAGCTCCCTATAATTAGGAAGGGGAAAGCATTTCACTGCAAAAGGAATCCAACCATTACATACTATTTCAAGTTCCCTAATACGTGAACATGCTGGATTTTAACCTATCACAAAGGAGGTGCTCTCTGAAAAATCTTTTCTAAGCTCCGAGGTTCTGTTATTAAGACATTCTCATACTCTTCCACTCAGGAGGAAAACATTTTATATTAGTCTGTTATACTTAAGTTTCGCTTTTGCTTTATGGTCATTTTACTCAATGCTTACATTTCTGTGACATTCCTTTAGCAAGTTAATCAAGGTGTTGCACTCTTGAGTGTGCAAGTGTGGAGACAGGTCAGGATGCATCCTTAGGAGAAGCCGACAAATCACAGCAGAGGAACCTGTGGGTACAAGAAAGAGGGTCTTGAATGTGCATAAATGTATGTAAGCAAGACTAAAATTAGTTTCAATAAGATCCAGTGTTTAACTTTATCAGAAAAGCATGTTGACCATTAACCAACTGGGTGACCTCAGGCAAGTTATTAAACTTGAACCAGTTTCATTATCCAAGGATTTCATATATTCAGCAAGTTATCAGGCGTGTTTGAAGGGCCTGCAGGTTCAGAAGTAGAAGAGGAATCCTCTAGAGGCCTAGTCCTAGAATTACTCAAGCAAAAACCACTTGACTGTACAAGGTGCCTTCCAAAAGCTGGTGAGGAAATTCCATCGCCTTTAAATTCCATTTGTCTGTGCACTTTTGAAACCCCTCATATTAATAATCCTGACTTCAAATATCTTTCCCACATTCCTGAAATTGACTACAATTCCATTCTATTCAAATGAAACTCTAACAATTTTGAGAACGAAACTATTAATCCTTTTAAATAGTGTATATTCCTCTGATAGGGCTGAAGGGTCATTAATTAGTCTCACATTAGTATGACTTAATTTAGACTCCTTTCTTCCTAACATCTGGTTGACAAAATCTAAACAGTGAAGTGAAACAAGAAGCAGATGTGAAAAAAAATTCTGAAAGTCCAAATTTAGTAGATAAATTCATAAAGTATAATTACTACAGTGAAAACAGGATTCCATTTACACGAAATAATATAGAAGAAAAAAAGGAATCCTGGTGTGGTCCTGTAAGATAAGCACTCCTTGGGAACCTTATATATGGTCACTATGAGTCAGAACTGACTCCACGACACTTAACAACAACAACAGACAAGAAGGCACCACTTACCTGCCAGTCTGTTGGACTCTGGTGACTTGCATGCTGCTGGGATGCTAGAAGCTAGACCAGCATGATTTTAAATACCAGCAGGGTCACCCGTGTTGGGCAGATTTCAGCAGAGCTTTCAGACTAGAATGAGCAGGAAGACAAGGTGGACCTCTTCTCAGTGCTTAGCCAATGAAAACCTTAGGAACAGCAGAACACTGTCAGACCTAGTGCCAGAAGATGACAAGATGGATGGACACAGTGGCAGCCACAATGGGCTCAAACAAAGCAATGACTGTTAAGATGCTGCAGGACCAGGCGGTGTTTCATATTGTTGTGCACAGGGTCGCTATGAATCAGAACAGGCTCGAAGGCACCAAATAACAACAAAAACAATCATACTTTCCAATCATTTAAAAAAGCTGTTCTAATGGCATTATCATAATTCAGCCTATTTTTTTATGAATTGAAGATAAATTAAATATTCTTATTTTTAAAACATCTTTAAATCCTTAAGGGGGAAAAAAAGCTGTCTATCAACATTAATAGTTTAGAAAATAATTTATTAAATGAGTTGGGCTGCTAACTTCAAGGTCAGCAGTTCAAGACCCAGCTGTTTCATGGGAGAAAGATGAGGCTTTCTGCTCCTGTAAAAATCTACAGCCTTGGAAACCCTACAAAGGGTCACTATGAGTTGAAACTGACTCCACAGCACATAACCAACCAACCAATCAAAGCACAAGTCTGCAAACCTCCAACAAACCTATGAAGTAGGTTCCCTTTAAAAATAGTTGAACCGAGAACAAACAAGATGGTGGATCGGGTGGAAGTGCAGTAAAGGAGCTCCGCCAACAACAACACAGAATACCCGATCAAGCAGGCTCAGGGGATGGTCCCAGAACTCTGAACCACATATAAAGGAATATTTAGAAGGCTGGAAGACTTACAGCTGGGGAATTTGTGGCAGAAGCAAGAAATCCATTGTTTTCTAGTCCGGGACGCTCAGCTGCTCCAGGAGCCGCCATCTTGGGTGAGAGCAAGTGGAGGGAAGGATTGGAGTGGCCACAGACACCTGGCAGAACCGAGGAGATAAAGGTGTGGACATTCTTCTATTTTGGTAGCTGTTCACTGGTTCCTTGCTGCCTGTGCACCTCCATTTGGGTGACTATAGGGGTGCCTGAGCTAGTGGACACCCCAGCCCCACCCTCGGAGGGTTCTACTATGCATGATCGCCTAGAAATTTAAAGAGACAGTTTCCAATTAAAACCAAACAGCCACAGCTGGCCCGGAACTGTTTACAACTAGAAAAAAACGCCTTAACTGGGATTGTGGAGCGGGACAAGCAGACAAAAAAGGAAATAAGCCGAAAATTAAATCCTAAGTTACGTCAAAACGACCAACCGTGGTATCTTGAAATTCCTCAAGAAGAAGAGTGAAAAGGGAAGTCCATTTCCTGATCACATCTACCTGGAGGCAATCAGAAAGCATAAAAAATACCAAAATACATACCCATCTGCGTATTAAGGCCACAGATAACCCCTGAAGATGCCAAAAAAACAGAAGCCGATGGCCACATCTGCACATGTCCAGAAACGAGATAAAGTGACTGAGGCATATGAGCTGGAAGTAGACCTACACTCCATACTGGAAGATGGGCAGGCTTTGGGAATGTCTGAGAAGGAATTCCTAAAAATGATTATAAAATGTATCAAAACACTATACAATTGTTGAAGAGTTGCTGGAAGAAAAGTTCCCTAATATCATGAAAGATGAGAAAATATGCATACAAGAAGCTGAACAAATTCGAAACAGGATAGATCCCAACAGAAAATCAAGACATATGACAATAAACTTTCCAAAACCAAAGACAAGGAATGAATACTGAGAGCAGCTCAGAAAAAACGAAAAGTTATCGACAAAAGAGAACCAGTAATAAAACATTAAAAAAAAAAAAGAGAGAGAGAACCAGTAAGACTAAACTCTGATCTGTCAGCAGGCATGAAGACAATGGAATTACATATACAGAACTCTGAAAGAAAAAACTGCCAATCAAGAATCATACATCCAGCAAAACTGTACTTCAAATATGACAGTGAAATTAGGGCATTTTCAGAAATTAAAGAAATTTGTAATCATCAGACAAATATCATAAAAAGTCAAGAAAATGTTTCATGCTAAAAGAATCATTCTCTGATAGTTTCCAGGGGTGGGAGGGAAGGGAGACTAATTCACTGGTTAGAGGGTTGATGTTTGTTAATGTTAACTCAGGTGATGGGTAGGGCATTAAACAAGGTGAGGGAGGTTGGCAGAAGATGATTAAGACAGGTGAAGACGCAAAGAGGCGTATGCAAGGGCCAAAGGTGCTAGAGAGAAATAGTGTGATACACACAGGTTTGGAACAACAGTGTTTTGTAGGTAGATATATGGACAGATACACAGGCTGAATGGGTATGGGAGGGGGAGTGGGAGTATACCCACAAATATAAAAGGATTGAAAAGGGTAATTGTACACGGGTATTTACCTTTGCTGCAAACACACCTATGAATGCAGAGGGACATATAGCAGGCAAAATGATGAAAACGACATAGATATTATCAAACATTTTATGGCAGTGAGGTGCTGGGCCTGGAGGTTGAGGATCCCCGTCTCAGAGGACACCATGGTCAACAGACAAACACAGTCCACAAAGACAATATTCTACATCCTACTTTGGTGAGTAGCGGCTGAGGTTTTAAAAGCACATGAGTGACCATCTAAAGTGCAGCTACTGGTCTCTCCAACAACTGTGGAAGAATCAATTAGTCCCAGGGACTGATGGAACATGTGAACATCAGTCACCAAGGCTCCGAGACAAGAACAGTCATGGTACATGACTACCCCTACTAACTGCTTTGAAAAAGTTCACGTTAGAAGGTCCTGGACAGACTGCAAGAAAATGTGGGACAAAACCCCAAATTAAAAAAAACAACAACAACATATATATATAGTCAGAAAGAGACTGGAGTAACCTGAGACTATGACCTTCAACCACCCTTCAGGTCGGGAAAAGTACTCCCCATTGTGGCCCAATTTTCCGTCAAGCAGTAGAAAGACATATATGGGAAGACAATTAACACTAGTAAGGTGTGCTCACCATGGAATGAATGGTCAATCATTCAAAATAAAACGGCCACACTTCCCTAAGGACAAAGTTGCGAAGGATGGGAAGGTAGGTGGTATGGAAAGAGGAAGAACCGGGAGGAAGTAGGAGAACTGTTGTTGCATGGAGGGGACTGCAGTCATGGAGAAGAAGCAAAGCGTACGAAGGTAAAATTGACGTGCTTGTCTGTAAACCTTCCCTCAATTTACAAAAAGTTTAAAAAAGAAACAGCATGATTAACGTATAATAAGCAATGAACTTGAAGGAAGAAAAAGTGGATCTGAAGGCAGAAGTTGTGGATTAACTATTTACAAATTATATCACCTTGGTGACTTAATCTGAGAACTAATCTCCTCTTTCATCAATGGAAGGAGCTCTTGACCTGTATCTCTGACACGTCACGGAGATTAAAATAACGTGGGGATATATGAAGCAGCAACAGCGAGTGTGAAACATGTAAAGCATTATTTTAAAATGTGAAATGCTCTCAGTCACAGAAGGGGAAAGGGTAAACCACATTTATTCTGTGATGTTTCTGGAGTCAGAAGTAGATGTCATCTTTGTTTCTTCTTTTTATCTCACTTCTATTACACATTCAAGGTAGCATCTTCCAGTCATTCCCAGAGATCATCTTCATGAAGCTGTCTGAGAGTGAAACGGGTGATGTGTGAAGACAAGCTATCTGTCAGTGTGCCGTCAATTGCAGATGTCATAAAGGATACCCACACACTGCAGTCTTAATTCTTCCCAAATCTAAGTTCACAATGAAATGATTTAAGCCATTTGTAAAAATAAAACAAGCACTCAAAGGATAAACACCTGCTACCAATAGAGATACTGAAAATAATTCACAAAAGGCAATGCCAAAGTAATTATGAACATCAGCAACACTGCAAAGGCAAACCTCATCCAGAGAGACAGCTGTCATCCCCACCTCTCTTCCTCAAATACATACAGGTTTCACTGAGAGCTACAGAAAACTCTTCAAAATTTTCCTGTAAGAAGAA